TCTTTGGAGTGTTTAAAACATTTATTACATCATTTGAGGTTTGTTTTTGTTTCTCCCGCGTTTTTAATTCTTACATTTAATAATTTAAGTTATGTTTACAGAAAGCAAGAAATGAGAACAAGCAACAACGTGAACGTGAATTGGCAATTCAAAAACGAAAAGAGGTATTTATAATATTCGTTTGTGTTTGATTTTCTGTTTATTAATAAAAAATTTTTTGATTAAAATAGGAAGCGGAAAATCGCAAAAAACATGCTCGCCCGAGCCCAAGTGTCAATATAAGTTCAGCTTCACAAGATTCTGTAGAAGAAAAACATCTTATGGACAATCTCTTGGAATCTTTAAGAGATGGAGTAGATTTGGATTCTCGATCTCGAAGGAGACGTGGTGGCAAAGAAAAACGTTTAGGTAGAAATATGTCAATTGCATTGAAAGCCGAAAATATATTGAATAGACTCAAAGAAGATACTCCACCAATACCAGATACGTAAAAGAGACGTAGATGACGAACATTTTGCAAATTCTAAAAAAAAAAAAAAAAAAAAAAAAAAAAAAAATGATAGAGTTTATTTTCTGATTTTGAGTTTTGTTAATTTTTTAGTTTTGTACAAAAATAATAATAATGGACTATTAATACTATTAATTTTTGTTAAATTATTTTATTTATTTCCTATTAAAAAAATATATTTGGAGTTTACAATCAGATATGTAAAAGCATTATTCGCTGGAATAAATCTTTATATATCATAAAAAAGATAACCATTGTATTATTTATATTCAAATGAATAAATATATAAATGCTTAGGCATGAATATTATATTATTTTTATAAAAAAAAATAAAATAAAATAAAAATATTCAGGTTGTATTATAAAAAAGTCAAAAATGAGAACTCTTTTTAGAGTAAATCAACATTATCAAGGCTTTCTTTGTTTTAACAAATTAATATTTCTCCAGATTATAACGAAAAATAATTTTATTCAACATTTATCAGAGGCTGAAGCTTTTTTTTTGGACTGAAAACAAAAAAAAAAAAATAAGAATTCTTAATTCAACTTTTTTTTTTTCAAAAAAAAAAACTATAAAATATATTTACCAAAGCAGCTTTAATCTTTTGAAAATCCTTTAATAACATAAATCTAACATAACTTTTAGAAACACCTAATTTAACCAAGTCTTTTTCATTTAATTCGATAATCTCTTGCCATTTCATCCCTTCAAAACATGGGGCCCATTTATGTAATCTAAAGCATTTGAGCCAATTGGGAAAATCTACAAAAAAGAAATTTTTTTTAAAAAAAAAGAAAATATATATTAATTATGTATTATTTACCTTCTAATGCTTTAAAATTAATCTCATTTTTTAGATTATTTTCAAAGAATTCTTGTACTCTCCGTTGACTTCTTTGATGTTTTCTTCTTCTTTTTTCATAATCTTTATCAACTAATGTATTTTTTGTAATATTTGAAGT